CGTATTCAACGAGGGAGAATAAAATGATACCATTTCGAAGAGAAAAGGAGAAAAAATAAATATATAAAAAATACGACTGTGCATAAATTAAAAGTTTACAAGGAATACGTGTCCGAGTGGGCAGCTTCTCCCCAACGTAAAATAACTTTCTGTGCTGCAATCCCCTGAACCCGTTTCAATTAAAAGTTGAAATTTTTCATGTGGACACCCATAGAGATGTGTCCAATCTGGACGTGACTGGGCATTGCTTACTGTAGCAGTGATGGATTCATTCAAACCATGTGCTAATTTAAAGTCCGGAGTCCAATTTGATTAGTACATGTGCAGGTTGGAGTTAGTCGTAGTATTGTGGCTAGTAAATTGGAGGAATGCCACCTGTACAAAATAATGGGGAACGGGCTACGGTTCCTAAAGCCTGGGTCCCAACTCCACGCATGATTTTTAGGACGTACGTTTTTTTTTTTTTTTTTCGGTTCCTCTCGTCTGGCTGAGTATAGTAGCTAGCTCGCAGGGAAGGAATCAAGTAATTGATGATTGCAAGGAGTACGCAAGAAGAAAGTGCGTGGAAGATACGTGAGAAGCACAAAGAGAAATACCTGCTGCGCCTGGCGGGTTTCGCACGTGTCCCGCGCGCCCCGTGTATGCAAAGTACAAGCATCGTGCACTACGTATGTTATCCAGGCTAAGAGTTCGGGCAACGCGAGGGCAACTAAACTGGACGTAGTACAGTCTTGCTGACTTCGTACGGTTGCTGCTTGTCCTTTGCACGCAAGTCTTGCGTGTTGAGATGTATTTTTGGGAGGGGATAAGAACAGTCCATGTTTGAGGAGATCTTTAATAAATTATATCCGTAGCAGCGTTCAAATTGATGCCTTTCTGCTTGCCTGGCTTGTGTCCGGTTCCCCTCTCCCCCTCCTGCTCTTTGTTGTCTTTTTAGCCATTTTTCAAACTTAAAATCCAAGGCTCCTTTTCGTGCATGCTCCTCCTTTTAATTTCATGGTCCGTGCACATGGAGTGACCACTACGCACTCAACATGCACGAGGCCGGTGAAGTCCACGCGTCGGGCGAGTGGAAGTGCGGAGTGAGCACGGAGTGAGCAAGAAATAAGTACGTGTATCGTGCGCCTTATCCACGTGTATCGCACGCACCGTAGCCACCCAAGCGCAGTAGGGAAAAGGGAATTTCCTCACGTATCCCGTACGACAGGCGCACGGCAGGCGAACGTGTGTCGTACTTTTTTTCCATTTTTTTAGATTTCGTAGACCGAACGCAGCAGCTGTGAGCATGTCGAAAGTTTTCTACATGCTGTCTGTGCCCTCCAAAAGTTGTACGATGGACGTGCTCCTCACGCACGAGATCCCACGCCTCCCCATATTTTTGGCTGTAGACTACACGTAGTAGCCAGTACGTTGGGTTGGGACCCAGGCTTAACTGACTATCATTCCTGTCACACCAGCGTGTGAAGCCGTCCAGTGTAAAGGGCGTTTTTTTATTGACACAGGAATTTTGAGCCATATATATATATATATATATATGCTTTATGCATACTTTCTGCACCAGACTGAGCTGGTGAAAATGTACATAGATAAGGTAATAGCAGCAATAATAATGATAATAGTAATAGTAAAATACATAGATAAAGAGCACCAAAATAACATATATGGAAATGTACCAATATTTTCTACTATGTGAACTAAATCTTCGTATTTATAGTAATTATTGATAGACATCATGAAGTGGAAGATGTAGCACAGTTTCTTTTGTTAAAAGCTAGGTTAAGGAATTTGGCCAAGGAAATTATCACTGTTTCGTTTGGATTGTTCACTATGAATTGGAATTTATCTTTGTTGTTGAAATGTGCACAGCATGTGTGGCTGCTTTGTATTATTTTAAAGAGTTCTTTTCTGTGTTCTTTATACAGAGGGCAGGTAATTTAGAAGTGCTCTTCATCCTCTATAACTCCAAAGTGGCATTTTCTGTCTTCGACTGGTGTTGGTTTACCCTTGACGTGGCGACCTGTTTCTATGTGCAAATTGTGGCTTCTGATTCTGAATTTAGTTATGGTTTGACGTTTTTCTTTATCTTGTATTATATCAAGGTATTTTTCTTTCTCAAAATGAAGTTTGAAAGTTTTATACCTTCTCAATTTGAGATTTTCTTGTGATATCCTACTATGCCAAAGCTATGCCATATATATCTGAGGTCGTTTACATAACGTTAACATAACATTATACTGATAAGTTTTTATTAACATTACCTTTAGTATTAATATAAAACCTGCAGTGATCTTATTTTCTGTCTCGACGAATAGCTTCTAGGCTATTTTTTAAAGATCAGTTTGTACCCAGCTTGAAAAAAATATATATGCTGCATTGCATTGTATCGTAAATAAATGACTACGCAATTCGTCCCACGGGGCCTAAAACAAATAGAACAAGTAGGCGACCTCTGCCTCAGTCAACGAGGTCAGCGATAAAGTCATGGTAGTACAGTTAAGGTATAAGACAGCTACAGGCGACATCCTTATGTAGGGACGTGGAAGAACTTTACACAACACGTACAGCCACGTCAACGCCTAGGACTATCAATGTGTTTACCAGCCGGAAAGGTGCTGCAGACAGATTGGTGCAAGTCGTACTTTTTTAATTGAGCTACACGTACAACAGGTGACATTACAAATTCGAAAATGAAAGAAGGATACAACATAATATAACGAAAATCTGGATAACCTGTCCTCTGATGCGTCGTGGAAAATGTTCACGTGAAGTTTAAGTAATTGGTACATAGTGCTATTGCTGTTACATTTCTCTGGAAAGAAGGTAAATGCGCTTTATAAATACGTATAGCCTGTTGAATGATAAGCCATTTTGACTTTTTCGTGCCGCCATTGTGTATTAGAGCGTATCAAAGTTCTCGGTAACACTTCCTCTTATCAGAAATACTTGCGCCTAGAAATTAATCATTAACCAAAAAAGTATTTACAGGTCAACTGGACTGCTGCAAGGCAGGAGTTAATTTTTACATCTTTTTTCACATAAGTTGAAGTGAAGATTATATTCATTGTGCAAAAACTGATTTAGGAATTAATATTTACGGATATTGCTCAACGAACTGTTTTGCGTCAAATGTTCTCAAGAGACCTCGCAATATAGCAAAAAACTCAACATCAACAGTTGTGAAAGACCCAGGGTTTTGTGGAGGACGTCTTACCTCTGCAATTTTGACTCAAGATCGCAGACAAGTGCCACCACTATTTCTCTAGTGAAACCACCGATGCCTTTGGCTGGGCTACAAATATCAGAAATGAAAATTTTATGATTGCCAATGAATGATAAATTCACTATAATTTATTGAAAGCCACCAGAGACAATCATGTTATCTCACTCTCAGTGTATATTATGTAGCCTAGACCCACAAGTTTACACCAATTTATTCTTATAATTAAAACTGGTCGCGTACATTGTATGCCAAGGAATCCAGCTGCCTCTATTTCAGCATATCAGTCGACATGTGTGCCACTGGCACAGAGCTGCTGATGGTAGAGGTTTAACTGAACCACAAATAAGGATGTACAATCAGGACTTCCTGAATTCAGTTGTACACAGCTCACTTTATCTGCTGCAATAGAGACAACGATATCCATTATAAAATGTATATGACCGTACATAATTATTATTCTAAAAATACTGTAAAGACAGTGCCTTTGAAGCCAACTATTCTTGTAACTTTAGTCTTGCTAAGATAAACCTATTTTTATGTCTCAACATGTATCATTGCAGTGAAGGCAAAAAGCTTATTTATGCTGGCCAATTTAGCCATTTTGTTTTCGTTTATTTATTTATTATTTATTTTTCGTTTTTGTGACAATCACTTCAGTTTCTTCAAATACTATTGAATATAAGCTGGTCCTGAGATACACCTTCACATCACTAGATGGGGAATTGCTGTCGTTGTTCTTCATCTGCGGGGATAAGCAACAGAAAACCACAGGAATTTGGGCCAGGTTCGTCCTCTTTCAATCACGAACCTTGTTAATCTCCGTGCTAAATATGACTGTTTTAGCTTTATAGACGCCCTTCAAATTTAAAAATGGCAATTTAGACGATTTGAAGACATTTCAAGCCTGTTATCAGTAATTTCAGAGAGGCAGTCTTTTCTTCTACTCTTTCTACTTATTACATGTAGTTGACCCAACTTGAAAACAGATATTGACAAAATTTTGATTCAGAACAGATTTTATCTGGCTGAAAGGTTGGTTCTTTCGAAAGCATCCCTCCCCTCCACCTACGGGTGATGCCATTACAACATGCTGAACGGGTGGGCCAAGCTAATAAAGTCGCTGAATAATCATTCTGTTTGCTTAATGATTGTAGGTTACATTGAAACAGCATTTGGAAATTAGCCAAACTAAGCTGTAGTTCCGGCTTTTTTGTCGGAGGTTAACTCTTTCCACTGTTTTTGTCACCAACCTTCTCTACCCCCTCTCCCTCACATCCAGTTTTTGCTGTATATATATATATATATATATATATATATATATATATATATATATATATATATATATATATATATTTTTTTTTTTTTATTTTGCATTGTCGTCCTTCTGTCTCTGTTAAAATTTGGAATTTATTTGTACTGCCCTTTGTAAAATGCCTTCGTTGTTTAGAATTATTTGAATAATCTATAACTCCCAATAATCTTTGCTTTTGTTTGCAGATAGATGCTCACTTAAAAAGTCAAAATTATATTCATCTTCGTTATTAGCATGTAAGAGTAAAAGACTAATCCATTCTTAATTTTAGACGGCCATGACGAACCGACGGAAAAAGATCCCCTTACCAGCAGACGACATGAACATGTATGGCAATCGTATTCCAAATAAAGTTTAAAGCGTGAATAAAGAAAGCTTACGTAAAGTAGCATAGACTGATTCGTGCAACAACAATCAATCGAGTATTTTCGTGATGTTTAATTTAGTTTTACTCATCTACTGTAAAACATGGTCCAAAGGAGGTTAGCTATTGTTGTTTTTTTTAACCTTTTCACATCGTTTTTATATTCACCAGTAAATGATGATTTTCAAATATGTGAAAATCAGTTTTGCCTAAAATTGAACATCCTTATCACAGCATTTTTTTCACATTTTTTTCTTTAATCAAATACTTGTATGATAGCAGAGGTCTATTTCAGTGTTAATTATAATTAATATATTGACAGAGTGAGCAAGCCACGCTTTCGGAATTCAAAGAGTCATTTGCTGCTACTGCTGCTGCTGCTAATGTGGATTTCTCATCACGTCAAGGTAGGTTAATATAGATATCACTGGAATATGATGAGTGTTTGTGTATCTTTAACCATACTTGCATATTTTGCAACATTTGTATGCATGAAATATTTTGGTAGTTACACCACAGAAACTTTTAGGTATATCAAGAAACATAAAATTACACATTGGTGGAGAGCTACATTTCTATTCTTTACTAATCAAGGTACCAGCAAAATAGCCCAATGAAGTAATACATGCTTTGTTCCCGGCTCTAGTTTTGATTATATCTCTTAACAAAACTAGCACTGTGCTTCCTCTAAGTCACCTTTAATTAATTGAACCAGTTACAATGCTGAAATATAAAAAATAAATAAATAAATAAATGAATGAATAAATAAATATGAAAGAGGACAGCAGATGACAAATGATGGCAGTTACCCAAGTTTTCCTTCCCTAAATCTTCCTTTTTTTTAAACTTTTTAAACATTTAAAACTAAAATAGCAGAAACATATACAAATAAAAAGTTTTGTACTAGGTGGGTAAGTCGCAAGTAAGAAGGCTGTCGGTCGCTGGTGTAATTTTTATGACAAATGCATTCTTAATAATGTCGATCTCAGACCACTTTGTTTCTGATGTAAGATTTGATGATTTTAGATGCAGTATTCATATACAAACTAGTGTTCAGCATGAACTGGACAAACTGGTCACTGGGTAATACCCCCTTCAAGGGTCACAGCTTTTTATTTTTCAAAGACGTGCTTCGGGCGAATTCTGTGCACCTTTCTCTTGTGACCATGGGTTTTTGAAATTTTTTCGTATAGAATTAGTGTCACCACTCTGCTGGCCATTAGAATAGAGTAGTCACCTAGAGGGAAAGTAGCAGGGGCGGATCCAGGGTTATTTGAAGGGGGTGTCCGGTTTTTAGCTATGGCATGCGGCGGATGCGAAGCCTACCCCCCCCCCCTGCCCGGCAGAGAGAGAGAGAGAGAGAGAGATCGCCTTTTTTTTCTTCCTTTGTCTTTAATGAAAAAAATGTGTTTTCTCAATTTCAATTTTTAATTGTTTAAACACCTCTTGTCATTTTACATTATAACGTTATATAAGATAAAAAATCCATTACAAATTAAAATAAAATTAAGATTTTATCTACATCTTTCATTATTATCAATCAATAATATTTTGTTCTTTATGTCTTGCAAGATGCGGTTATTTTTATATTGATCTTTTAATAACCTTTCACTTTCTCTTAATTTTAGGCGAGGCACAAACGCACCGCGCCGATATAGACAGGTTTGAACTTTAAAGGAAATTTTGTTACTACATTTGGTTATGAATTTCACAATAACACGATTTAAATATCAGTGTTAGAAGAGCGTGGTTTAGTTTCTCCCATTTAAGCATTGCAAGCATCAAAATAGCTAATTCAGCTGTTTTGCTTTAAAATAAGTCACTGATGTTACAAACCTTTTAAGTAATGTGACAAAAAGTGACATTAAATGCATTTTTGTTGCTTCCTTTTGTGGACTCGTGCTTTTAACTTTTTTTTTTTTTTTTTTTTTTTTTGTAGCGACTCCATTAAATCAACAAATTTTCAAGAAGAAATATTACCATCAATCGATTTCATAAAACAAGAAACATTGGAAGTCACAAGTACAAAAGATACCGGTAAGTTTTTACATGTATTAGCTGAAGGCCTCGAACATTTTTTCTTTACTTTGCATGGTTTAAATTTTCAAACTATTGAAAATTTACAAGACCATAAGTGCACGTGTAACGTAGTGGTTTCGTAGAACATTCTATAGGTGGACTAGAGTGTCTGACACTTTTAAAGTGTAGAACAGGGTCATAGTTAATGACAATTGTTTCTATTCATTCATTCTTTCATTTAAATAGATGGCTATCTGTACCGCTTCGCTTTTCCCCACTGCACACTCTTCCCACACACATGCCTACCCTTTAGCTGTTTCTCGAATTTAACTCTTAACTTAAATTCTATTTATCTTTTTAATACACTATTTTATTAATTGTTTTATTTTTACATCTCAAACTTTATATTGTTATTTCACTCTTATATCACTTTTAAGAGCTCGAACAGAGGTCATTTTTTGATGAATATAAAAATGTTTGATATATATTACTTGAATAAAATATTATTATTATTATAATTATTATTATTATTATAATTATAAGAAGAGGAATTGGTTTCAGGGACTTTACATTTTATATTTTGACTTTTGTTTGATATTTTATAGATGAAACCTATGTAAAGTCTATTTCAAGTCCAAAGTCCGGTAAGTGCGACAAAACCGCTAAAACAAAATTACTGGTTACAACATTAAATATGTTTTGATGTAAGTAAGTATATATATTTGATAATGCAGTGTAGCATCTTCCGCATGGGTTACCATTATTAAGTTCTGTATTGTATTATACTATATGAGATATGTATCAATGATTTCCACCCACTGTACAAAGAAGGATAACACTGTAGGCCCTACTTTATCAAAATAAACCTCGCGAGTTTCAGTTATATAAAATCACGTGTAGCGCATTTGTATAATTGTCTTTATAAAAATTGTCATCTAATTACAGTTAATTTGGATAAATCAGAATTCAGCATACCAGAAACCGTCTCCCTTGGAATTAGTGAGATAGCTGAAGAACACAAAGACGACTACGGTAAGTTGATTTCTTAAGCCTAGGTCCCAACCGAACGTACGGGCTGCTACGTGTGGTCTACGGCCAAAAATATGGGGAAAACTTGGGAGTTCGTGCGTGAGGAGCACGTTTATCGTGCGACTTTTGGTGGACGCAAACAGCGCGTATAAATTGTTAGACATGATCAACAGCCACTACGTGCGATCTAGCTTCGTCCTAGCCGGACGCAAGGAACCTAAAAACCGTACGTCTAAAACGTAGTTGGGACCTAGGCTTTAGGCAAGCCTGTTGCTTTAAGCACGCATATGATATTTTGTGGATAAATACGACTTACAGAAAATAGAGCAAGCAGTTTAATAATAAAATCTTACCTAAATAATAATAAATTGTCAACATCAGTTTTAACGAACTGGTTAAAAATTACTGTTTTCTGTAGATGAATTCCAATCATACAATTGTAATAATGTAACATTTTGCTTAATATGAGCTTGCTAAGGTAACATTTCTCATAAAATGTCAATATAGTGTTTAATTTGTGAATGATTCTGTTTTAGTGGATGTGCATCGCCAGCCTGTAGAAGGTGATGTTTCCACATCTCCGAAACATGTTTCTCAAGGTAAATACCAAGGAATGTGTTGATCTGCGTGAATGTATTTTATTTTGATAAAAGTATAATCGTAAATGGATATGGGTCAAATGGCATATTTTAGTCAGAAAATGTAAATAACAATTGCTGAATGTATTTCTTGTGTTCTGCGAGCTCTCAAAAAAGTAAAACGCTTATATTTCTGTAGATCCATTTGTAGTATACACCTCCATTATTTCACTAGGCGAGACAGTCGAAATCTTGGGAAATTAAAAAAAAACCTTTATCAACCTTTCCCGATTTTACAGACTTTTAGAGGACCATGTTAGTACCGCAGAAGGCCGTTTGGTTTAGTCGGTACACAAAACCGTACGCTTATTTATCTTTTTTCTCACTGTCTGCTTATTTCACAGAGCGCATCCCTGTTCAAGAAACGTCAAAAGCTCCCTATGACCGTTCATCGCCTACATTTGGGGGTAAATATCAATACACTATGCAAACATAAACGCAGACCTACTTAAACCATTACTTGATATACAATACATAAAATTCAAATATTTTGTGGTTTATTACCTAATACACAAATTTTTGGCATACAATATTATTTCATGATTATAAATTTGTATCAAGGTGTTATCTGAAAATGAGGCATAGAGTATAATACTTTAACAAAGAAATATATTTGCAAAATGATTTTGTTATTTGGTTTTCACCGTAATTTCACTTGCCATAATAACACTAAAGAAAACAATACAAGAAAATATTTTAGATAAAATTTTATATTAACAACCCTTTGTCTTCTCTAAATGATCACTTTCTTTGATATAGAGACATTTTGCTGAATATTCTTAAACAGTAGAATACACTTTTTAGAAGTATTACCGTGGAAAAGCTGTTTGATTTAGTCGGCACACAAAACCGTGTCATTTATCTGTTCACTATTTATTTCATAGTGAGTGGTGGAGCTCAATTAACCTTTGTACCTTCCCATGGCCGTGCATCAGCTAAAGGTTTATTAAGAGGTAAATATCAATACACTATGTAAACATACTTAAAACAATACACGATGTAAAATTTATTGATGTCACGCATTTTGGGGTTTGTTATCCAACAAGATGGACAAGATGTTTGACTTATGAAATTATTTCATGATTATACACACACTGGACAAAAGAAGTGTCACCCCTACTGAGCCAATACTATGGGGGAGATAAATGACTGTGGAATGATATGCTCCTGGTATCATTTTATTAACATCAAATTTCACAAAAAAATCACAAAATGAGAATAAAA